TGCACCAGAAAAAATGAAAATAGGTATCTTCAAACTTATTTAACATGGTGATAATTTGTATAATATATGTACAGTGCCTTCGCCGCTTATTTGAAGAGAAAGATTCAATGCAGGGGCTTAATAGCCTCAAATATTTCTCAACCATTGTTGCTCTTGTGATGAGGACACTTTATGCTCAAAAGAGAGGAACGTTTTGGAGAGTAATGGCGGCATCATCCTCAGGAATTACTACAGTTGCAAATACTTACTGGGACATTGTTATAGATTGGGGTTTATTGCAAAAGAATTCAAGAAACCGTTGGTTGAGAGACAAACTGCTTGTGCCACACAAGATTGTCTACTTTGTTGCCATTGTAAGTTGCAGAAAGCAGGTTTGAAAAATATATAGAGTATTACACAACTCTCTTCCAGTGTAAATTAACTTTCTTGAAGACTAAATGCAGGTTCTTGACATTATTCTGAGACTAGTATGGATGCAGTTGGTTCTTGATTTTCAAGAACTACCATTTCTGCACAAGAAAGCAATGGTTGCAGTAGTTGCCTCTCTAGAGATCCTTCGCCGAGGCATGTGGAATTTTTTCAGGTCGGAACTCCAAACCATTATCTATTTGAGTAACATATTCCATGATATTGTAAAAGAATTTTTAAGCTATTAAGTCATCTAACCGTCCATAAAAAGAGGAATTAGAAACCTGAAAAACAAGACAGTTAATTATATGCTACAACAGGTTAAAATGTAAAGTTTATCTATTTTATAGCAGAAATTTGATGAGTTAGCCAGCTACTTGTGTATTTATTTGACATCACGTAGAAGATAGTTATGCTGTCTTTTATTGTTCAGGTTGGAAAATGAGCACTTGAATAACGTCGGGAAATATCGTGCCTTCAAGTCCGTACCATTGCCTTTTAACTACGAGGAGGACAAGAGTCTATAACTATATTTAGCTGATACGCAGAAGTCGAAGGAATCCAGGGTTTTCTTTTCTTTCTTTTTTTTTCTTGTACAAATTCTTTGATTCGTTTGTCAATATTGGTGTTTATAATACAGTTTTTTTCATGAAATTAGCAGTGAAGATATAGGACCAAAAGAAAGTTGATTCCAGCCTCTTGAAAACGGTCTTTACGTTGTTGCTTCAGATTTCTACGTTCTATATTGTGTCTGAACTTAATGTACCAAAAAATGGTTTAGATCCGCAAGGGACATTCTTTATATGAAATGGAATGGTGCTTGATAATTGGTTGACTCTCTCTACAAACTACCAAGACGTGCTACTACC